CGCCGAGCCCCGCTCCTGCGGCTGCCACCGAGCCCTCGGCCCTTTCCCTGCTTCGCTGGATTGTTTAAAATTTTGAAAGGAAAGCATGCTTTGAGTCCTGTATTTCTGCAGCAACTTTTTCAAATATATAAATTGTTTGTGGAATTCTGACCCTACTTTAAATATAAAGCCCAAATGCTGATTGAACCATGGCTTGCTGGAGGAAAAGAAAAACCTAAAAAATAAGCAAAATCCTAATGCCTGCCCCGTAAAATGAAATCAGTTGAATGTTGACTTTGAATGTTAACTAAATATTTTACATTCCTCATATTTTACCTTTGTTTCTACCTTTGCGGTATTGGAAATGTGAAACTTTGTGCCAAAACCTCATGGCCAGAATATAACAGCCTGTGCATGTTACCCCGTAGCCTATCTGCTGTCACTGAGCCGAGCTTCAGTTAAAGATAACTCAGAAAATCAATATTTAAAACAAAATTGCAGAAGTGAGAATATTTTTTTCACTGAGCTTCATTGGAGAAATTATCAAAAATAATAAATATGAGAGGAAATGGATTCTGGACACACTGAGAAATAGATCACTTTTTAGGAGAATGTCATTGTTTTTAAATAGAAGTATCAGGACTGAAGCTTTCTTTGGTAAATATTCTGAAATTTACCGAAATTTGTTTTGTGAGCAGGTTTTTTTTTACTTGTGGTTTTTAATTTATACAATATTGTCCTCTAAGCTTCTGAATGATACCTAATGCATACAGTCAGCAGGTAAAAGAAAATTTGAATATTTAAAAGAGGCATTTTCTTTATAGTGTTCTACGGTAATTAAAATCTTCATTTGCTTAAAAGCGAGGAACCTTTTTAAAGCAATAAATTAGCATTGCTTGACCCGAGGTCACTAGTAGTACTGCTTCTTCCAGCGCTATTAATACCTCAAAGAAAAAGAAGGGGTGGTGTTATCACTCTGTTGCAATAGAAGTAAGATTTTCAATTTAATCACAGTTAAGTGTCATGACCTTTTGATCTTGCATTGACTTCTCACTGAAATGTGGTCAAATTTCAGACAGCTAATTCTAAACTCTGCAAAGTCAAGGTGAAGTCAGAAAATAGGTTTTGCCACAATTGGGGGTGTTTTGGATACAGTAGCAAGTGATTTCATTTCCTAAGTTTTGCTTCACAGCAAAAACTTTTTTTAATGAATTCAATAAATTACAGAGCAATTTCTGAGGAAAAAAAAAATCTTTCTCTATTTGTGTTAATTGCAAAAACAGTAATTTGTGGGATTTTTTAAAAAAATATTTTTTCACACAGATAAAGGGACCTTTTTTTTTCCAATTTATAGTGATAGAAATAATTAGGAAAGAAAATACTATTTGAGTAAAGCTTCTACTAAGAATAATTTTTGAACCAAAGAGTGATCATCTTCACATAAAGCAGAGTTAATAATGTGTAGAAAATGCAAACCACTCATATTTACACATATCCCTTTATAGGTTGTTTTATTATTTTAGGCAAATCAATTGTCTTCGTCGGAGAGCGTTAGCTGGGAGTTTGTAGGACCCATTATTTGCACAAGTTCTAAAGCAGTTCATCCAGTCTCTGTTCTCATTTATACCACTGCAAATCGGGGACAACGCCATCCATTTCAGTAGCACTGTAACCACTGCGAAAGTATGATGAAGATCAGCTCTTCTATCAGTTTTGCAGGTTTTGTTCCAGAAACGAGTAGACAACAATCTCCACAACTTTTTAGCGTTGCTTAGCTACCTTTATACGCCTGCTTGAAAATACGTTTCGAGACTTTACTATGTGTTGGATTAAGGCTCTGGTTTGTATACAACATAGAGGCTGCATTATAAAAAAACATGTAGGAGAGTAGTTTAAATATGCCTTCTCTAAAAAGAAGGATTCTCAAAGCTTAATTTATGCTCACACACACACACCAAGCACTCTGCGTAGTGCTGTAAACAAGATTCCCCCCCACCTCCCTTTTTTTTTTTCTAGCAAAATTATTACCTAGGCACGGGACTTTTGCATTATCATGTCCTAGTGCAACGCTCCTGTCCTTAGTTTGTACTCTCAGCCTTTTGAGGAAGTCTGGCGCCTCTGATCTATTTTCCACAGCAGACCCTGTAATTTTTGGCTGTATTTTATGTTTTTCAGATTCAAGTCAATCTGAAAGTCCCAGCCAGCCAAGTGAAGCTGATATTAAGGACCAGCCAGAAAATGGTAAGTTCTTACCTGCTGCTCCTGCTTTGGGATGTTAAAACAGCCCATACTTATAAAGATTTTTTTCCCGTGTCTAATATAAAAAGATTATTCAGAATAATTGACATGGGATAGCTACAAGTAGGTGTGTACTCTCCTCCTAGTTAAAATGCTACTATTTCACTAATCTAAGGTAGCATTTGTTTCTCCAGTCCTGGAGAGATTTATTTTTTTTCCTTTAAAAACATTTTTAATTAGGGAGATGCCATTAAAGAGCCTGCTGTATGCAACCCTTATCCTTATTCCTCCGTAGCAAAGGCTTTCACTCCCTGGGCCGTGAGTCATGACCCCCTAGGGGTGTGTGCTTCATTGCTTTCATTTTTATCTCTGTGCTTTTAACTTCATTTTGTTTATTGATGCTTTCACATGACACACTGAAGTACCCAACTTTCGGTATGTGGCCAGCCATCATTTTAGAGTGTAGGATCTCATAGTCCCGTGAAACAAAATGGTTGCTTTGAAATACATTTCTGCAGACCCATTCTCCACTGCAAAAATCTGCTAAACAAAACGGAGCAGCAACACCTCCCAGCCACGGCAGTTGCAGGGCAGGACTGCACACCTATGAACGTACCAGCTGCTCGGGCAGGTACCCTTTGCGGGGCTGATACGGGTGCTGCCGGCATTGGCTGTGTTTTTTCCTCGGCGTGCTTTAAAGGGTGTAGATACTACGAGTTAGCAGGGCAGGGAGGCTCGACTGGAGCTTGTTGCTCCTTCTCCCTGTGTTGGCAATACTGTTGTTTCAGGTGGCAGCTTATTTGGAAGTAGCAGCAGGACTGGGAATTTTGGGAACACTAATATTCTTTGAACTGGGACAGTGGTAAAGTAGAAGCAGCAGCTTCTTCTGAATGACCAGCTTGCACTGTAAAGCAGCCTGAAAAAAATCCTGCAGTAATAGGGAATTTCTGTCGGGACTGTATGTGGAGGGATAAGTATGTGTGTAAGGGAGCAGCTTCTCTTCCTTTTCGTGTTTAAGTAAGGTACACCTCAAAAATTTTTGTTGGCCATTGGCGACTTTTGTTTTACTACTTGTGTTTAGGACTTGGAAATACCATCTCCCAAAGTGAAAGTGGTTATTATTAATAGTTTTCCTTGACTTTTTTAATCCACAGCCATATATTTTTTTTTTTAAAGACCTAAATGTAGATGGGATCCAGTGTACTGGGGTCTACTGTGCATACACAGAAAAGAAAAATTTCTGTGAAGGGTTCATGTCTCTAAAACCTGTCACCATTTTGGAGATATTTAAACCCATCTCGTGGAAATATAGTATCTGTAATACAACTGTGATTGCCCTTTCACAGAGCAACTAACTGGTTTTGCCTCAGATCTTTGCAGTGCATCCCTGCGGCTGTAGGTATGTTCAGTGTGTGTTTGGGGGACTTCAGCAGCAACCAAACAAGCTGCGTTCACATCCGGACTTTGGTTCAGGGTATAAACAGCAGATAGATAGAACTGAGGGAAGAAGAAGAGGTTTAGGTACTTGAAAACTTGAAAATATGAGCATATATGGTAGGACATAGAACATAGGGCTCATTGGGCTGGTAAGATTTTGGCTTTTGGGGTTCCTGTATTTTCCTCCCATATTTCATATTTTCCTCCCAAGGTTTCATATTTTGATAGATTTTGTGCTGCTCATCTCTAAACATGCCATCTTAAAACATTTCTGTTGTTTCTGAAAGACAGTGCCTAATTTCCCTTATCAATCCAGTTTACAGAAATTCTAATTTGTAGCCAAAGGATTGCGAGGTTAAGAGAAGAACTGACTAAACTGTGATTTTTGTTCTGCCAATTCTGATATTTTTTTAGTGGGGAATGTGTTGCCTATGTTTATTAAATCATATTTTAATTTCAAATATATTAGGCAGCAAGCATGTTATTATTTCATGTTTAGATAATATTCTTTCACAGCTATTAAACCACAGTTCTTCTTACCCTGCAGCTTTTTAGTCTTAAGGAAGCCTGTTACTCAACAACCACCCCGAAAAGCAGCAGTGTCAGTGTTTAATAATGTAATATCTGTAAGAGCTTAGTGAAATGAAATATCTCTGATTTGGAGCACGAGTCTTCTTTGTCAAACAAGCTTTTAGTGAATTCTTGGAACTTTACTGGTGACCTGCAAAAGGTACTTTTTTTTTTAATAAACAGGAAAAGGATTTTTCTTTCTCTCAGTTTTACTAAAGGGTATTTTTCCCCACCGCAGCGGAAGCCTCCTAACTGATTCCGCACCTTTTGCAGTGCCCGTGTGGGAGATTTTCTTTACAAATGCCTCTAACGCAGTCTGTTGGCCCTAAAGGGGTTGCTCCCCCTGGGCGGACGCTGAGCTCATTCTCAGCACACACAGCCCCCAGCTTGCAGCGTACCCAGGGTGGAGATCAACGCAGATCTGCAGCTCTTATCTACTGAACGTGAGGATGAAAGCAAAACTGCAGGCTTTAGAAAATGAAAAACTGCACGCACAGAAACGGACACAATAAATCATATTAACTGCGTTGTTCTACACTTGCTGTAGACCCACTTCCACAGGGCCTGATCCAAATCCCTCTGGAGTCAGTGGGAATCTCGTAATTGATTTTATTGGGAGTGGGAATAAGCCCACACAGAGAGGATTTTTTTTTTTTAAATCAAAGGAAAATAGTATTGTGAATAATCATATCCCCACTGATGCTAATAGTGGAGTGACCAGATTGAGGGCAGGTTTGGGATCACTTTGCATGTGTTTCTGGAAGGCACAAAGAAGTCTATCGATTAAGTACTACCTTTTACATGCATGCATTCCTTCATTTCAAATAAATAAATCTTTAAAGGCCTTGTGAGGGTTATACAGCCTCTCTACTTGCCTGTTAATATCCTTTCTGTTCCACTCCATAAATTCTAGCGCTATTTATTATACACATATATTTTGCATACCTTGAGTAATGTAGGTTCAAAAGGGTCAACTATACAGCCCTGAAAAAGAAGGCCTCCTACTACAGATTTTGATTTATCATTTTAAATTGTATGTGTTATTTTGGAAAGCCTGTATGCCTAACCTTCATTAAAGTGAAGTTCATGGGAAAAAAATAAGCTTTTCTTTTTTAGACCCCCTCCTTTTTTCTAATGGGCTTTACAGTTGCATTTACTGGAGCAGAATCATCACAGAGAAGATGGTGACTTCTTCTGCTCTCAGTGGTGGCTTTAGTACCAACTCCAGCCTTTTCTTCAGCCTTCATTAAGCCAGAAGAGTTTTCAGGTAGTTACTTATCCAACCACTACTGCAAAAACTTACAGAAACACTAAGCATTTTATTTTTTTTTAGAGAAAGAGACATGCTGGTTATGAAAAGCAAACATGAGGTGAGACAGGGCTTGTTCATGCACAGTCCAAGGTCCAAAAGTCTTGTCCTGGACCCGAGGGGAAAGCGAACGTGTAACGGAATGGTGTACACGGTGCTGCTGTCTCTCAGGTCCGTTAGCTTGGGGAAGAGCTTCTGAGGGAGAGGAAAAAACCCCAGAATTTGCCTGTTTGTTATATGGGTGAGGAAATTTGCAGGAGGGATGATGAAAGAGACCAGCAACTTCATTTGAAAGGCAAGAGCGTGTTCTGATGTCCTGATATTTTGCTCAAATGATTTTTTTTTCTGACCAGCTGGGTGGAACACCCGTGTGGAAAATTCCCCTACTTTTGTAGTTGCCTAATGGTATGTGAAAGCTTCATTTCAGTTGGCACCGCAAAGTGATTTTGCAATTCACCCAATCAAAAAAAAAAAAAAAAAAAAGGTTATTGATTTTAAAAGCTTGTTAAATGCACTAGTTTGGTGTTGTATTTTATAAACAAACTAGCTTTCATTGAACTGAGGATGACAAGCTGGCTAGTCTGATGCAGTGAAGGGACTGCATGCCTGGGGATCAGGAACAACTGAATTCCCGGCTCAGCACTGCCATGGACTCTCTCTAGGGCTTTTATTCTCTCTTTCAGTCGTGGAAATGGCTATCGGATAGATTTTCTTTTTGTAAGTAGGATTATTTTAAACTTTTGTAGGAAAACTTTTCAGTCTGCAAAGTGGGGATATTTGTTACTCTAGCTTTCAGAGAGTCATTGAATATTAAAAGTCAAATCCTGCTCTGCTCCAGCAGGAGTTTAACTCTGGAGAAAGGCAAGGAGGGTGTAGCACAAAGTAGTTAATAATTGTGGTACAACGCTGTGTTACTGCTGTCAGTAGATGGATGTCAGACATCCACCAGGCGATGTTTGTGTTTGATGTGGTACCGCTGGCGAATTAATAACGGCAGCGTAAAGGTACACACAAAGTGTGCTGTGCGCAGCAGAAGAATGCTGTGTCATTTTCTGCAGACAACTGATGCCTCTCGAGCATGTGGTATTGTGATTTGATAACTCCAAGTTGGTAGCACACCACTTTAATGGTAGATTAGCAAATTATTTTTAAAGAAGTTGGTAAATTCTCCCACTTCAAGTGAGCAAGACAGCATTCATTATTACAGCTGATTACAAATGTGTGCCAAATTCATTGCTCAAACAATTTCTGTAGAGGGAGAGGCATTTATCTAAAAACTAAAAATGTTTAATGCCCAAACCAAATGCTTTTTAGTTTTAATGTATTCTTGCTGCTTTGAGCTGCAAGTACCTTAACAGCACTGCAGGAAATGAAAGGCACATTGTTCTTTGTAACATTAAAAAAAAAAAAAGAGAAAGAAAAAAGAAAAAACAATGATGTACCGCAACTCACAGAACTCGTTTTTCAACCCTGCAGTAATTACACTGGACTTGTAAATATCATCTGCGAATTCTTTGCTTAAGTAGGGCTGGACTTGAGTATTAAACCTTAAAAAAATGTTTAAGTATATGCTTACTTTTCCATGCCTAAAAGCATAAAGGAAGAAATTCTGGTCCTCAGGCTGCAGGGGAAAGAGAAGGCAATAGGGGGAACATATGCAAAGAGAAGTTTCCTTCTCTTCTTCTCG